TATATATATATATATATATATATATATATATATATATATATATATATATATATATATATATATATATATATATATATATATATATATATATATATATATATATATATATATATATATATATATATATATATATATATATATATATATATATATATATATATATATATATATATATATATATATATATATATATATATATATATATATATATATATATATATATATATATATATATATATATATATATATATATATATATATATATATATATATATATATATATATATATATATATATATATATATATATATATATATATATATATATATATATATATATATATATATATATATATATATATATATATATATATATATATATATATATATATATATATATATATATATATATATATATATATATATATATATATATATATATATATATATATATATATATATATATATATATATATATATATATATATATATATATATATATATATATATATATATATATATATATATATATATATATATATATATATATATATATATATATATTTTTTTTTTTTTTTTTTTTTGGGAGAAAGTCTTATTTGTTTTATTTGGCTAGAATAAAAGCAGTTTTTAATTTTGAACCAATTTAAGGTCAAATTTATTAGCCCCTTTGAGCTACACAATTTTTCGATAGTCTACAGAACAAACCATCAATATGCAATAACTTGCCTAATTTCCCTAACCTGCCTAGTTAACCTAATTAACCCAGTTAAGCCTTTAAATGTCACCTTAAAGTGAATGTACTGAAAAATAGCAAGTAAAATAGTATGCACTGTCATCAGGGGCGTAGCAGTTGAGTACACGTCATTTTAAAAAAATAGGCAATGTATTTTGGTACATTTAAACAAAACAGATTTATTAAAGAGATATTTATAAAAATATACTTTAGTCACCAAACATATTCAGAAATTGAAAGATAATACGATTAAATTCAAGCTAAATACAGTACTGCAAAACAAATTACAACCAACAAAATTTCAAAAATTTATTTATTGATTTATTTATTGATTGATTCTTTTGATTTTTCCTCTTTTTTAAATTTGTATTTATTATTTTTCTATAACATTTACATTTGGATGAACTACTTTTTGGACCGTTTTTGTAAGTTATTTTGTTAGATGAGCTCAAGATTTGGCTTTGGTACTGAATAATCTAAATTATATGCACAAATATAATATTGTATAGCTTCCTAGTAAAAAAAAATGAATTTAAAAGGTAGATTTATGAGGGGTGTACTTATATATGCACAGCACTGTATTTATTGTTTACTGTTCACATCACTTCAAAGAGTCAGTTATGACAAGAACTCCAGTTCACATGCTTGTTGCTTTAGCACATTGCAAAGATGCAAATATCAATAGCAAACCATTGACAAATATCAGTATTTACTTTTGAACCAAGTAAAGAAAAACAAGTTGAGAAGTACTGATCTTGATCAATCCATTAATCAACCGAAACAGCAACAAAAAAACAAAGCTCTCACACCCTCAAGCAAGTATGGATGTAGCAAGCTACTTGTATTGACTATTGCGGAAGAGGTGGTGAACAAACAAAAACAAAAGGCGGGACAGGAAAGGACAGCATGAAGAATGAGACAGTGAAAAGGGGAAAAGAAAAACAACTGCTTAGTGCAAGATTGATTCCCACACTAGCCTACCCCTGTGTTTAAGCTGAGACTGAAGGATTGTGTGGAAAAAATCATGTCAGGAAATCCCAAAGGGGGGGAACAGTGTGAAAAGGTGACGTGACCAAGTGAGGAAAACAGGTTTGCAATCAGAATGGAGCATCTGTCCGCATCGAGAAGCATGCAGCATATGGAGCAAACAGTGCCAGGAAGTTTGTCATTCATCTTTCTGCGTGTTAGGATGCGCTTTACAACTTTGCAGCCAGAAGATAGTGGAGCAAAGCAAAAAAAAAAAAAAAGAAGAAGAAAAAAAGAAAAAGAGGGTTGTCCTCTCTTCTGAGAGACATGGTTAGAGTAGGAAACCCTCGAGGGGCAGAAACAGTGAGCATGTCGAGCAGGTCAGTCACAGGAAGCGAGAGGCAGGCGGCAGGAAGTGGTCTCAGTACCTTGTCACTATGACTATGTTCCTCGTTTAGCGTGGTGCTACTGCAAGTGTCAACCCCTGAATCTTTGACCTGCGGCTCGCACCACTCCGCGTCTTCTTCATGGGAGCCCTCCCAAAATCGCACCACTGTATTTTGCCTCTCAGACGGGGCATAACTGGTGTCCAAAAAATATGCCTGCTCATTTGTTTTTCTTTTTCCCCTTTGAATGTTGCCTAAAAGTTATGGATGATATAAAAAAGGAGGAGAAACAAAACATGCAAAGGTGAATTCAACGAGGGGAAATGGGGCGACAGGATCACAAGCCTCACCATAGACATTGAGGAGGCCTCGCTATGCCAAGACGCATGGTCCCACCAGTGACCATCCATATCTCCTGAGGACAGCACAGTGAGAGGACACACACGCACACACTTGTGTAAACAAGAATTAACTCATAGAAGCAAATACATGGCATTCGGTTACTCAAACACTTTCTTTTACAGGTCTTTAAAAGGAGTATATTGACAAACATTAAAATGCTGTCATTATTTACTGTCATTCTACAAAATAAAACTTTTTTAGTGTCTCTGAAACATTATAAAGAATGTACAAGCTTTTTTTTAAAAGGATGTTTTAGACAGAAATAGCAATGCATTATTAATGACTGTTTCCACTGAGTGGTATGGTACGGTACAGGTCGGTACACTTTTATGGCCATTTCTACTGTCGAAAGTTACCAAAAAAGCGAGCCGTACCTTATCACTTTTTGATGCTAGATGCCCAGCTGAACGCTATTGGTTAACAGAGAAGTGTCACTAGTACACAAGCCAGGAGAATGAATGCAAAGAAAGCGTCATTTTTAAATACACTGCCGAGACATTACATTGCAATACTATGTAAATATATTAACGAGCCATAGTCGGACCAAGCTCAAAAAACCTTGTCATCATCTTGCTGAACAGCCACAAAGCCAAGCAGAACAAAATCTGCTGTGTCCTGCTGTTATTTTACGAGGCTGTCTCAAAACGCGAGCGACTCACTTTCTCTAGAGAGCTCGCCGCGAATTTATATGAAATAATGAACTTCTTCAACTCATAATAATAACATGCGCATGATTATTGAAGTGCTTCTGACATCTGATCCTTTCAGAAACTGACAAACGAGAGTGAAACGCAGAAAAACAGGAGAAGCTGGAAAAAAAATGAGCAAATTATGTTTTCAGCAACATAAAACATAAACAAACTGCCATGTTTAACTATTATCATTATCTTTTGGACAATTATGAACCTGTAAGGACGGAATTACTTTTTAACAAGAGGTTACATGTGCTGGTGAAGATTAAAGACACAGATGAGAGGTTTGCACTGACTGTGGGCTATATTTTGCATGTTGTATTGAAGCCAAGTAAGGACTAAATTTATGCTGTGTGTAGTTTTACTGTAATTTGTAACATATTGGAGACTGTACGGGGCTGTATGTGTTCATCTCATCTTATTTTTCAGCTGCTTTTCCACGGCGGGTCTTAGAAAATAACCCCAGACTTCCCCAAACACTTCCTCCAGCTCCTCCGAGGGGATCCCGAGGCGTTCCCAGGCCAGGTGAAAGACATAGTCCCTCTAGCATGTTGTGGGTCTTCACTAAAGGCTGATTTATACTTCTGCGTCAAACGCCGGCGTATGCTACAGCGCTGACGCATAGCCCTTCGCCGTGGCCATCGGCGTCGCTGACGTGCACCTCTCAAAAAATGTAACTACACGTTGCAACGACGCGTAGCGTAAGCTCTGTGATTGGTCGGCTTGGTAGCGCTGACGAGTCTGGGCGGGACCGAGAGCCGCGCGAATGGCGCGAGCGATTGTTTACAAGTGTGGAGTCCCGTGAAGAAGCTCCAGATGGAAAGTTTTGTTTTGTGTTTACCTCATAGTTAAAGTTGTTGCACGTCCGCCGGTTCCTGCCTCAAAATGAGCGCGTTTTGAGCCACTTGTACATCCCGGAAGTGTTCAGGAAAAGCAAAAAAGCAGAGAAGAAACTCGACACAGAGGAACATTTACACCTCACTGCCAACTAGGGTTTCGGAAGTGTTAATGCAGACCGACAGAGACAGCGCGCAGAAGTATAAATGCACAGCCACGCGCGTTGCATGCGCCGTGGGTTACGCCGGTCACCTGACGCAGAAGTATAAATCAGGCTTAAGGCCTCCTTCCAGTGGGACATGCCTAGAACACCTCCCTAGGTAGGCGTCTAGGAGGCATCCGAAACAGATGCCCGAGCCACCTCAGCTGACTTCTCTCGATCTGGAGGAGCAGTGACTCTACTCTGAGCTCCTCTTGGGTGTCAGAGCTCCTCACTCTATCTATAAGAGTGTGCCCTGCCACCCTGTGAAGGAAACTCATTTCGGACGGTGAGAGTCCATCGGTGAGAGTAGGAACATAGATTAACTGGTAAATAGAGAGCTTTGCCTTTCAGCCTCAGCTCCTTCTTTTCTACAACGGACTGGTAAATCGATCACATTACTGCAGCCGCTGCACCAATCTGCCTGTCAATCTCAAGCTCCATCATTCCCTCTTCATGAACAAAACCTCAAGATACTTGAACTTCTCCACCTGGGGTAAGGACTTTACTCCTACCTGGAGATGGCAAACCACCTTTTTAGGGTTTATGTGCTTATACATGTTGCATTTATTTCTTTCTTTTATATAATTGCAGATGTTACAGCAGGCAATTTTGCTCTCTTATTATTGATCTCCAGTTATAATCAAATCATGTTCATAGAAAGGTTAGTAATGAACATTTCTACACAAGTATTTGTGCGTTTAAAGCATCAGTTTTGTGAGAAGTGCTTCTCATATGAAAAGTGAACGACCTATACAGCTTTGCTGTGATATTTCCTCAAGCGAGATTGATGTTTATTGAAACTTTCTGTCGTAACATTGATACCCTTTTGGGAGTGGAAACCCAAGACTGATAAATGTGACTTGTACCAATCTGTACCGTACTGTACTGTACAACTTAGTGGAAATGGGCCATTGAATAATACTTAAGCTTCTATTCAATACAAAAATGCATGTAAAGTATACATACAGTATATGCTTGGAATCATTCATATGAGTGACTGAATTACGACAGCATTTACAATGTTAGGTCAATTATCCCTTTAAAAGAACATATAGCAGTGGCAATTACCTTCTTTGTACACACTTACCTAATCAATATGTAAAAGGAAAGAAACAGCAAATATACATTTTTTTTAAAAGGTGAATAGCATCACATAAATACATGAACCTGAAAACAAAAGTAGATGAGCAGTTTTCAAAAAAGACACACACATTGGCTTCTTGGCTTAACATCTGACAACAAATGGCAGTACCTCAAAGACATGCTGGCATTAGTCAAAAACAACTTAACATTATTTCAAGTTGTGTTAGCTTTGAGCCAAGCATGGGGTTAACAAAAATTAGCCAAAAATGATTAGAACTTTTTAAACACAGTGGTTAGGATGAGATAGCAATGCTGTAATATTGTATTGACACCTTCTTTCCAGCATAAAGCTCAAGTTTAAATTTCAGAGTACTTTGATTATTTAAACAACTCACATCATCCTCTTTTGATTATTTTACATATGCAAAATAAATTATTTTAAACAAAACTGCAACTGTACAACTGCAAAAAATGAACAGCATATTTGATTAAGAAAGCAAACTGCTGTTGAAAAATAAAGTAAATATGGTATTATGCATTTATAATGTTAACAGCTAAGATCAATGTAATATCACAAAAACACTAGTGAACAGGAAAAAAACTGTATTCTAGAGTACAGCATGGAAACTTTAATATTGCAGAAGCTTGATTACTGCCACCAGCATGGCATCCTCCTGACCCCAATTTCCCTGCCAACATGCAGTTATATCTGTGTTCTACCATGAAAAGAATGAGCAATGTAAAAACTTACTTCAGTAGACATTACTTCTGCCTTAACATACACCATGCTTCACAAACCAGAAGCATACGCCATTGGTCCAAGCACCATGTGCAGACTTCCCCAAGGGTCTTGAAAAAAGAAGCGGTTTTGTGTAGTCCCAATAAATTGCTGATAATCCGTCTTTGCTGCACCACCCCTTCCAAACCTTGGCGAGTTAAAGTTCCGCAAAGCTGATTTACTCGACCACATCTACTAGGACAAAGGCCAGAACTCAGCTGCAGCTCTTCAAGTCACATTTGGGTCAGTACGTCAAGCTCTGGTACATCCTCTACAAGGAAGATCTCAAACCAAAGAATTTCCATGATTTTTCATCGTCTCTTGCTATGTAGTTCCTTTTCCCTCTCTCTCTCCATGCACTGAAATGGAGTTCATGCCTTAGAATAATGAGCTTACCGTTATTCTTGTAAGCCAGCTCAAACACCCTGCCCTACATAGTCCCCGCATCGCAGCAGACTATTTCCCTGAGTTTGCCGGGCTGATCCTTGACTCCAAAAACCCCTACAGCTCGCTCATGGCTCCATGGTAGCACACATTGGCCTCAATCACTTGCACCCAACCAACAGTCCCATTCTTTTCTTTAGATTGTTCTACATTCTGGTTGGTGGTGTTATGCAGAATTGCAAATTGCAGCAAGAAGAATAAACATTTAGATGCCCTTACTGATTTAAGACTAAGAAATACTCCAAAGCACACAGCAGCAGAACTGTCTCCATTGCAAGTCTTAAAGGTTTGGTGAAATATTAACTTACCACCATTTTCCCTGACTTCACACAGTGTAGCCTGTTGGTGTGCACCTCCACCGGTTTGCTACTTTAACCAAATCCTTTTCTCTTTTCGCAGATGGGGAGGGAATTGAGTACTTTTAACCAATCAGGTTAAGTTGAGATTGACTGATTGATGCATGTCCAATGGCACTCGATAGAAGGATAAGCTTGCCAGAGATCAAGCTGCTTCTTGTCTACAGTCAAGAGGTGAGCCTCTATTATGAGGTCAGAAAGAATGATTGGATGTTTGCTACATATGTTGCTTTTGGTTTGAGAACCTTGGAAAACATCCACTGCCTCAACAAAAACCAAAAATAATAAAACCAACATGGATACAACATATATAGTCACTCAAATTAAATACCTATTGAAATTAGGAGTGTGTGGAGGCTTATTTATGTGATGTCAGCTACACTTTATAGAAACATTAAGAAAGAACAGAATGCAAGTGAGAGCGAGTATATCTATGGGTCATGGTTTGTCCTACATTCTTTAAACTCCTGCTCCACTGTAGTCTCTTGAGTACATTAAGTAGCTGTGGTGGAGAGTAGGCCATGACAGATGCACTGGTGCAATTTCACTTTCTGACTTTGACATGGAAGTGACCCTTTACCAGCGCTCTCCTCTGCAAAGTTCCTGGCACTCCCTCTGGCTAATTCTAAAGATGGAGGAAAGGCTTTGGGGAGCTCTCTCAAGACTGCTCCTGTGCAAAGAAGCTTATCCAATTGAGCTAATTGTGACCCTGACACATCAGAGCTTTTATGGGAGGGGCCAGAAACACAGGTCATATCTTACATGGTAGAAGAACTACCATGAGAATGAGAAGCACAGGTATGTAATGTGTTGGAAAGACAGACATAATTGCATATCTCTCCATGGCAAGCTAAGCTGGATAATGGCCAACAGGACTACAAAAGAAAATTACATTTGAAGTTTTGCTGTAGCACTGTGATAGTAGGCAGCTGTTGATCAATGAGAATGTCAGGGTCTATTAGCATTTTTAGAAATCCATTTTGCTGTGTTCTCATTAATATCAAACTGACCTGGCTTTTTATGGACCGTCATAACAGTGGTGCCATGCTATAATGTAGGGTCCCACTTTATATTAAGTGGCCTTAACTAATATGTACTTACATAGGAACTAATAGTTTGTTACAATGTACTTAGTGTAAATGCATGTATTTACTTTGTACTTATGGTTGATTAAATACATGTATGTAATTACATCTGTAACTACCTTTTGTAATTACATTTGTAAATACACTGTTGACCATCCCTTACACCTTACCTTAAACCTACCCATACCACCAAACCTGTCCATAACCCAACCTCTATTCCAACTCAAAACCAACACAAGTGTTCTCAAATACATTATAAACACACTAAGTACATTGTATTTATTTTTTTATGTAAGTACATAGTAGTTAGAGACACTTAATATAAAGTGGGACCTAATGTAGATATATTCTTAGAAAAACCACCGAAGCAGTAAACTTAAATATATGTTGTTGTGGTACCTTTTTTATCTCATGAAATATTAATAGTAGCACAAATTACTATTCTAATGTACAGCTTGTAGGTGTAATTAAGTTACAAAGGGCATATGATCCGGTCATTTGGGGTCATAATTACTCACTTTAATTGTCTTACAGCAAAATCTGTGAGCATTCATATTCCAGCAGAAGTTTGCTTATTAGAGAATGGTACTGTATGACTGTGTGCTTTAAAGCACTTCATAGCATTCTCACTCATAATGTACCATCTTTAGCCCAGCTTGCATTACATAATTAAAGCTGCCTAAAAAAATGAAACACCTTCCATGGTTTAAAACCCTGTCATGTGACTCACCTCACATAATATACAGCATCAGAGGATTCTCCTTTATCTTAAGGGCAGTTATCCATAGAAAAAGGCTGTGCGAGGTCACCAAATAATGAATGCTACAACTGAGCTCAACAACGTCAAAGCAGAATTTAAAAGCGAGTTAGCAATAGTCTGGCATCCATGATAAATCTGAGGTCAATGTAACAATCTTGCTGGTAGGGCTGGATGATATTGCAATATGGCATATCATGAATTTTTCATATAATTCGGTATTGGTAATTATGGAATATTTTTAAAAAATACGTTTAGAAATATTGTAATTTTTTTGTTTAACCATTTTATTTAAATTTACCAACAATACTAAGGCAAATAGTTTTAATAATGAAAAACATCAATGTTTAGATCAACATTTGTAAGGTGTCAATAATAATGACACAGTAAACCTCAAACTCTGTAAACAAAACAATTTCTGAGAATCAAATCTGAGCTTTCAAGCACAGAAATGAACCATTATTATTCAAATACACATTGCAACATCACAAACTGTGAAGTTAAATGACCACATGACCCCCTATGTTAAAAAAAAAATCTTTCAGATGGGGAGCTTGTGGCTGGGATGCACAAGAAAAGAAACCAAAAAGTGGCATCCTTACATCCTTTGATTATTTACAATCTACAGTACTTACTCCAGCTATACAGCACTAATTTTAGCATGTGTTGCTATTCTGACCTGAAGTGATAAGAGCGAACACATGGCTTTCTTCACCATTTTCAATGCGATTTGCACTTTTGCTCCCCTGACGTCTCTCATAAAGAGGTTACCATTAACCATCCACTCAGAGGATGACAAACGGACACCCCATTGCAATTTATAGAGAAAAATAAAAAGCACTGCTGTTCTGTTTGGGTGCACTGTGTTTGTATCTGGTAAATAGTCTACCATTTTTACCAAAATGTTTATACTCCATACAAAGTGTGAAGCAGATTGGTTAGTTCTACTTATATAAATTTGTAGTGTGCTCGCGGCGTTCAGAAAAGTTCAGATGTTTTTAAACTAGGTGTACCAGAAAAATGCACGCATCACGTGTGCGCCGCTTGCACACTATGTGCGCGTCGCTCCCATGTGCGCATCATGCAAGTAGAGTGCCTCCGTTGGAAATGACAAACTTACACCCTAAGCCTATTGGCATTCCTTACAAGTCGCTCGCTCAGCAGCCACACTTTAATAAAACTATAGCCTTCATAATGAAACTTCATACAAAACTTTTTAAAATGATATTGACAATGATGTACAGTCAATTTATACCGATACCGATTTTTTTTGTTCAGCCCTACTTGCAAGTCTTTAAACTTCAAATTTTTCAACTTCCTATCCTAATAATGTTACGCAGGGAGAACATTCACAAACCCAAATGATTAGTCTACTAGTCTCTCAAAGTTCTGTAACTGCATTAAACACGACACATTGGCAGAAACTATATTATCACAATCTAGTTAATATTCAGCATTGGCTTTTAAAAACACTTTTAATTCTAAAATGCAGTGGGCTTCAAAGCAGAACTGAAAAAAAATGCAATAATTCATCAATAAATGTTAGCACCATTTTCTCCTAATTAAAAAAGCCTCCTCGAATTGAGTCAGTAAGGCAACATTACTCACAACACCATAACTCTAACCTCACAATCACCATTAGTAGTACTGCTCTGCCAAATTTGGTCTTTATCGAAGAGAGAGAAATCCAGAAGGATCATCCACTCACTCATTTTCCTTCAACCAATTCCCTTTCTTATGAGTAGTCGCCACAGCTGAATGAACCACCAGTTACACTAGAACATGTTTTTTCCGCAGATTCCCTTGCTACCGTAACCAAACCCTCTGCTGAGAACCACCCACAAACTCTCTCACACACACATACACTAAGGAGAGCTTACTTTAACCATTTCTCCAAAATCAACCTATACCACATACAGTACATTTGTATGGTGAAGGAAACCTGAGAACTTGGAGGAAACCTATGCATACATGATGAGAACATGCCGACACGGGTCAATAAAAAGAAATCAAATTTAAGATCTTGGATTATAGCTACTTTAAACTACATCTTTTTAGGACACTGATAAGACTGGTGTTAACAATAAATGCTTCATGCAACTGTTCTCACGGTAACACCACAACCTTTCTGAATCAGCAATGCAATTACCATATTCAGAATCAGAAGCATTTACCTTTTTCACTGATGGATTCACTCTCCAGCTCCACATCCTCACAGCTGGTGTACTCTGGCGTGGTGGCTAGCTCTTCCTCTGAGCTGCTAAAGCTGCCCATGGTTCTGAGCTTGCCAAGGCGTTTGCTGCGGTGGGGTCGAGGTGGAGGAGGCCGAACTGACTCAGACTGATCTGAGCTTAAAGAGTCATTTCGCAACATGTTATCCATTTTGTCCCGTTTATTCCTGCGCATGGCTGAGCTAGGGTCCAAGTGGTGCTGTTGGGGTATGGGTTTCCTTGTTGGCTCCGCCAGTCCTCGTCGACTATCACCTAGTACAGGGCTACGGTGTGGTGTGGGTGGGCTATGATTTGACATCCGATGTCCCGGTGAGCTCCTGTCAACAGAGTACGATCGTTGACTTGGGCCTCCCAAAAGAGGGAGTCGCGACTGCCGGCCACCGGGGCCATGCAGAGGCTCATCGAGTTCTGTGTAGGCAAGTGATACATCACTATGACGTCGCTCGTGACGAGCCCGTGACACCTGTGCATGGATGCGCATCTGCTCCTCATATGGTTGGGGTTTAATAGGGTAGCGTGCAAGGTTGGGATCACTACGATATCGGGCCTGGTATTCCTCCTCACGCCTCCTCTGGAGTTCATAGTCATCTAACTGGCCGTCCAAATGCTGGCCTTGTGAGTGCCAGCGTCCTCGACTGTCTTGATAGTCACCCACTTCGTTATACATTCTTGAACTCCTTGGCGAATGGCCAGGGTCACGTCCGTAGTCGGACGGAGAGCGGGGCATGCCACCTTCAGCCGGGGCATACTGCAATCCTCCTTCCCCCTCCCTTTGGTTATATGCCGCGTTTGGGTCCCTGGATGCTGATGGGCTTCTGTTTCTAGCAATGGAAAAGAAATTAATGTTAATAAAACTGGTCAATGCAATTGACAGATCAACTGAGGAAAAGAATCGGTATTTACAAACTAATTTACAGCACTTCAACTCTTTAAGTAATTCACACTAGGGATGAGATCTCTAAATATTCTACACAGTTCTGCATACACAATTAATAATCCTTAACTAAACCGTGAACCGTTACGCATTAAAAGGCTCCTATTTTACACCTTTCACAAGATGTAAGATAAGTATTTGGTGTCTCCAGACTGTGTCAGCTCAAAGTTTCAGCTCAAAATACCAATCAGATCATTTATTACACCCTGCTGAAAAAAAAAAATTCGGGTTCAAAGGAAATTGTAACCTGTGCCTTTAAATAAAAATGACCTGGTTCTACTTTGTCACTTTTGTCAGAGATCCAGGTTCTGAGTCAAAAATAACACAGTAAGACTGAACTATAAAGTTATCCAATGGTTTTATGTTGTATTTGTTGTGGAATTTATTCAAGCCTTCCTGCAATTATGAGTCACACAGAAATGGCATTACAAAGTTTCCAGTACACACACGCACAAACACACGGTTAACTTTTTACCTTTTTTGCATATCCACATATCCACAGCAAATTTGACAAAACTTCACTGCTATGTCACGTTGCGGTAGGCCTCAAAATCCCTGGAATTTAGATCCTACAGACCATTTTCTTGGCTGCTGCATGGAGGGTGCCATAGCGACCAGCGTCTTCCAATAAAATGTTTACAACTTACGTTTACATCATTTACACTAGTAAATTGAGCTCCGAAAATGCGCTTCAATAGCAATTTGAGTGTTTTTGTGACACACAACTCTGAAAGGTGTGTGTTAAAGCCGTTATAATCTGTCAGATATGGTTTAAGCGCGAGAAAAAAACGTTCTCAGGAGGTTAAGACAAATGCAAATTTTAGAGGAAATTTTCCGATGGCACATAGTGGTTTTTGTATCTAAACTCTTTATATCACTACAGTACGACTGTAGACACACTATACTTCCACAAAGCCTTTCCAAACAACTTCCAAAAGTTGATTTTGCATGATAGAATCCCTTTAAGAATGTCCTGTGTAAATATTGGATTTAAGGACTTGTGCTTGGTCAGGGTGGAAGCAGTGACACATGAGGGGCGAGGGCCAGGGTGAGGGCAGAAGTCTTTGAAGGAGCTCAAAATGAGTTTGGTTTTGTGTCCACTTTATGACAAAAATTATTGCACATTCACTTGTTCCTGCCTCTTTTTTCCTCGAATGAGTGTGAGCTACTTGTACAATAGTATTGCATGCGTTTACAGTGTAAACTCAAAACACCCGGGAAGAAACTTTACAAAGAAGGACATAGATACCCCCACTACCCATGTTCAAGTCCTCAGTTAAGGGTCCTAATCCTGATTTCTTCATGCATTGAATGAATGAATGAATGAATGAATGAATGAATGAATGGAGATATTCTAACTAATTAAATGTGAAATCTTATATAAAACTGTATCTCTAATTCATATAGTTTTTCTAATGTAGCTGCTGTAAATGAGGCTGACTCATGGCTAATTATTATCTCCTACTCAGAAAAAAAGTCCAGCCAGCTCCGCAGGCTGACACAGACTAAACTATCTGATGGCAGAAGTCACCTCGAGTTCACTGCCCATGAGCCCATCTCCATTGGGCTTCAGGACTCTCTTGTTTAAGCAGGAACACGTCAACAAGCATCACTGCTGTTCCTGCCCTAGAGCTCTTTCATTGCGAGGAGCCCACAGGGACCGTAAAGCTCTGTGAGAGTGGGCAGTTGGATTGGTTTCAGTGGTCAGAAATCCATCTGCCAGCGCAGACCTTTGAGCCATAGTTTTCATAGTGGTTAACCTGCAAGGGCACAGTATTTGGCTGTGGCCAAAACCATCAGGGGAAGAGTGTCACACCGAGTTAGAGAAACAGTCAAGTGCCAAAACAGAGCCAAATGCATTTAGATTCCTCTCTTTTTCTTACTATCTCTCTTGTGTTAACTACGTCATGCCATGCCAATAAGTCTCACTTACAGCAGATGCGTCCAGCAGTCTGTCTTTAACTAATCCCACCCATTCCGATGTCTAGTTACATCTACGCTGGATACAATAAGATGTTCCGTTTCTCTGAAGTATCTCATAATTAAAGGTGATAGATGTAGGTTTTTGACTCTTTTAAAGATTAAAATACCATAAAATGTTTACAGATATAAGACACATGCTAAGTGAGCATACTTAATGATAATGTAAATTATTCTCCTTTGAAAATGTGCATTCCTTGTCAGAATGTCTGCCTTTGTTTTGGTCTCTATAGCCCACCTACACCCAGTTTATCCAATTATATTTCATCACTCTGGGTTGTCTTGGTAGAAAACACATCGTATTTCAGTTCAGTCTTCAAGGCTGATGCTTATTCAGAGTTATCAAAACTCACATTAGGTGGTTTTTAATTAGCAAACTATATAAATATTAAAATTATAAACATTAGCTGAGCAGCATACATTGTAAGTCTGTGTATCAACAACATGCAATGCACAAGATTCCAGCTGCACCAAACCATTCATTCGTTTTACCTCGGCTTAGTCTCTTTATTCATGAGGCGGAATTAGGGCTGCTCGATTTTGAGAAAAATCATAATCATGATTATTTTGGTCATAATTGTAATCACGATTATTTAAAACGATTACTGTTGAAGTCAAAATTATTAGCGCTCCTGAGAATATGTTTATTTTTTTTATAAATATTTCCCAAATGATGTTTAACAGAGCAAGGAATTTTAACAGTATTTCCTGTAATATTTTTCTACTAGGCTTATTTGTTTTATTTTAGCTAGAATAAAATCAGGTTTAAATATTTTTAAACCCATTTTAAGGTCAATATTATTTGCCCCCTTAAGCAATATATTTTTGATTGTCTGTAGAAGGAACTACTGTTATACAATGAACTGCTTAATTACCCTTATTAAGCCTTTGAACTGCACTTTAATCTGAATGCTTGTATTTAGAAAAATATCTAGAAAAATGTTATGTACTGTCATCATAGCAAAGATAAAATAAATCAGTAATCAGAAATGAGATATCAAAGCTATTATGATCAGAAATAAGTTAAAAAAAACTTCTTTCCATTAAACAGAAATTGGGCAGGAAAAGGGTTGCTAATATTCAGGAGGGCTAATAATTCTGACTTCAATGTATACATACAGTTATTTTCCTCCCTGCAAAGGAAAGATAAATAAATAAAATGGAATAAAAACATGAAACAAACTGTGCTTTAAGCATCTTCACTGTAAGAATAAAAGTTTAGCTAAAAAAGTCCTTCAGTCAAGAGCAGAGGGATTTTCTCGTTTTGTTTGATTAATGATAAAAACAACATCGCGCGCTGTCTCTTTAATGATTTCTCTTTCACGTGTCTTTTGAACCATTAAAGCGCTCACAATAAGATGACTTTAGATGTCTGCGCCTCGTCCGTTTCGCGAGGTGCGCGCACGGTCAGCGGAGGTGCGTGATGCGGCGCCAGGCGCGAGTATAATTCCAGCTTCAGTGTGCGAATGAGACCGAATGCTGACCGGCCGCATGCTTCTGGCTGTCTGCGCGTGCCGCACATACATAAGCACGCGGTCTTTCGCGATTTTAGGAGCAACAGCTGGAAAGGGGGCGGTAAATGATGCAATAATCGTTTATCTCGATTAATGCTTTTTCATAATCGTTTGAAGCCAAAATCGAAATCGGATTTTCGATTAATTGCACAGCCCTAGGCGGAATGAACCGCCAACTCATCCAGCATTTGTTTACACAGCGGATACCCTTCCAGCTGCAACCCAGTACCAGGAAATATCCATAAACACTCATTCACACACATACACTACGGGCAATATAGTTTATTCAATTCACCTATAGCGCATGTGTTTGGACTGTAGGGGAAACCGAAACACCCAGAGAAAACCCATACAAACATGGGGAGAACATGCAAACTCCACACAAAAATGCCAACTGACCCCACCAGGACTTGAACCAGCGACAACACTAACCACTGTGCCACCGTGTCACCCCTGAATAAGACCACCACGACAAAAACACTCAAATACAGCCATTCAGAAGCACATAATAGTGCACTCCAACAAAATGGAAAGGTTTAAATGATACATAACAAACATATTAAGTGAAAGTACACGATCACTGAGTAAATGATATTTGTTGATTTGCACTGAGTCTCAGTTCTAACATTCATTTTCGAATAAGATTATTTTATTTTTATTTTATTTTCAAGATCTGGGGTAAATGATCTGCTGCTGCTTTTATTAAGCCAATATTGTAACTGTCACGTAAATCTTATTCAGACTCACATTGTAGCATTTCACACTAAAAAAAGCACATGATCAGTACCTGAGGTGATCATTGCCATAGTACAGGCATGTCCAAAATCAGTCCTGGAGGGTCTGTGCCCTGCAAAGTTAAGTTCCAACCCCAATCAAACACATTAAGGCTAGCTAAACAAGCTCTTACTAGGCTTTCTAGGAACATTCTTGCAGGTGTGTTGAGGCATGTTGGAGCTAAAATCAGGACACCGGCCCTCCAGGTCCGAGTTTGGACACCTCTGCCATAGTAGTTTATGTTTTTGTTCAGCCACAAGAAATACACATTTTAGGCGATGGCTTGGACAAAAACTCCTTTAACATGAAAATATTCCATTTGTTGCTCGATAGCCAGGCACAGATACTCATGTTGGTGCAGTCAATCTGGCAACCTGCATTTGCGGAGTTTTCAGAGTAGGAGCCGAGTAGAAAAAGCCCAAATTCAAAGTTTAGATTTGAACTGCAATACCTAGTACAACCACTACTTACATACTGCACCTTTAATGCTTTTACTGTACGTGGATAATGTAATAAGTAGACGCAACAGCTATGGCATATTGATACTTTATGTAATAACATTATTAAAACACAACAGTTGATCTACAGCAAGGGTCACCAATCTCGTTCCTGGAGGTCC